TCTCCTATTTTTTTTTTTTTTTCTTTTTTTTCTATCTTCTTTCTTTATTATTTTTTTCTTTCTATCTATCTCTCTATCTCTATCTCTCTTTCACTTTTTCTTTCTCTTTTTCTTTTTTTTTTCTTCTATATTATTATTATTATTTTTTTAATTATCTATTCGCTTCGATTAGATATACGATCATTGTATTTGTATAATGGAGAATAAAATAAAAAAAAAAAAAGAACAAATTAAAACAGAACAAAATTTAATAAAATAATAAAATAAAAAAAATAATCGTGGAAAAAAGAAATATAAAACAAAAGTGTGTGTAACACGTATACACACGTATTGAAAACAACAAGTGTGTGTATGACATCGATATATATATATATATATATTTTTTTTTAGTGTGTGGATCAACAAATTTGAGACAAATATTATTATCAATTATTATTATTATTATTATTATTATTATTTTTATTATTATTATTAATAAAAGAGAAAGAAAAAGCCTTCCTCAACAAAAAATAAAAAAAAAAACAAAAGAAAACAGAAACCAAAAACAAAATAAAAAGAATCTTGTAAGGAGTCCATGATATTTTTGAAAGTAAACTCACAAATAAAAAAAAAAACAAAAGGCTTGTAAATTGATATGTAAAAAACAAAAAAACAAAAAAACAAAATATTAAAAAACGGAAACAAAAAAAAAGAAAAGAAGAAAAGTATAAACAAATTAAACTCGAAATTAAAAATCTATATATATATATATATATATATAGATCTATCTATATATATGTATATGTATATTATGATTTATAATGTCAGATCAAGCTTTTATATTATTTCTACTTGAGATATTATTTGTTTGTTTATTTATTTATTTTTTTTTCTAATACTCAAGCGATGCTCTGCTCTCTCTTTCTCTTTCTCTTTCACTTTATCTATCTATCTATCTTTCTTTCTTTCTATCTAATTTTTTATCTTTACTAATCTATAATCTTTTCTAACCTATAATTTTTCTATTTCCAAATTTCACGTAAACAGTTTTTTTTTTGTATGATAGTACAATGAATAAAATTTCATACAAAAAGAAAATAAATATGTATATATATATATATAT